TTTTGTTATGGAATTATTATTATTACTAAATATTTAATCTCAAATGAAAGGTTTAATTCAGAAAAGTATGTATGCATGTATGTATGTATGTATTTATACTTAAAGTCATTTATTTTCATTCAGATTTAATTTGATTTGGTAAAATTTAAATTAGATGACATCATTTATGTAAATATCACTTATTTATATATGTGATATAAACATCTTATTGTAGCTTGAATGCTCAAGCATTAACTAATGTTAGCACTCTATGTTCACCATACTTCTGTGAATCTTCCTTCATTTTTATGATTTCATTATTCTAATGACAGGAGCCTTTTGTTCTTGGATTAAGTTTGATACCCACTTAAGCTATTAATATTAAATCTAATTAAAATAAATTATGCTGAGTTCTATCACTTGATGAAGTACCTGCATATTTAGCAGTTTTTCACACTTGCACTGCACTGCTGTGAAGCTATATTTGTCTGAGAGAGAAAATAGCTGTGCCAAGAGTGTTAAGAGTGAACTGATTTATGAATAACTTGTCAGATCTGTGCCCTAAATCTCAGAGCTGCATTCAGTTGCAGAGCAAATACTTTTACAGGGTCATTTTTTGTGTTAAAATACAAAATAAAAAATCACATTAAAGCTTGGAATGTACTGTAACTCTTAGACCTTTGCAAAAGGTTTATGAGTGATTTTAGTATGAATACATGATTAAGTTTGTATGTATAGTTTTAGCAGTCACCACAGCCCTCTTGCAAGTAATCATTCGCCTGATACTGATCTTTCTTTTTGTATTTCTGTTATTTCTCATCAATCTTAGACAATTCTGTTTGCCTAAAACATGTATCATAAACAATATTGTTACAGCTCAGCATGTTAGTTCTGACAGATAGTGGAATGAGTGAAAGGCAGAAGAAGAATTTAATTGTCCAAGGAAATTGTTTTTAATTGTGCATATGGCAATAAATGCTTTGACGTGAATCATGTAAACTGATGTCAGCATTCTTTAAGAATTCTGACTTAGGCTATCTAGGGAGATCAAATTTTTTTATACCTACACTAAGGGTAATATTTAGTAATGTGCAAACTAGTGTCAGATTGGCACAAAGAATGCATACATATTTACATCAATTATAAATGTAAATGTACTTACTATTTTTTTTCAAATAAACTTCTGTTCTCTGCTGTGTGTTGCCAGCCAGGTTCCAGCTGATTCCTGAGTGTGGGCTCGTCGTTTTGAGAGGTAATAAAGCCTTTCAGAGACCCTCAGAGCAACCTAACCCACTGCTTTTTCACTATGCCTCCTGAGGATAGGTTTACTGACGTGCACTTTGGCCTTAAAGCGCTATAGGTTCTTGAAAAAGGGGCAGCAGAGGAAATACAGCTGTGAAGCTTACTAATCCCTCCCTCAAAACTGGAATGTCAGCTTTAGTACTGCAGCAGGGGGCTTTTGGCTGCTCTTTTTTAAAATCATCTCATGAGAAGGGACATATAAGTGCCATCGGGTTGAACTGCTTCTCCATTTGCTTAATTGTATATGTGCTGCCTGATTGTCATCCCAACATTTAGCAAGAGGTAAGTGTCAATTAAGAGATTTGAGATCCTTGCATTAGTTTATTTTAGAAATATTTTATAAAATGTGTTTAGAAATGTCAGAATTAATGAACCATAATTTTATGCTGAAATCCTATCCCAAAAATCAGACAATTTGCATGAATGTTTTTGTTTATTCTGACACTGCTTTTGACTCACAGGAAAAGCAAACAAAACAAGCCAAACCTCATCCTAATACTAATGAGCCACAATTATCATTTTACTGTCATTTAGGACTGAAGCAGAATTATAAAAAAAAAAGTTATAGTAGCATTTTATTTAGCATTGTAAAATGCACTTAACTTTGAAACTGAGAAGTGTCATCCTGCACTGGTCACTAATGTCTTAGACCTGGGTGACTGTTCACCCACTCTTCTTAAGTGACTCTAAACTTGGACTAATGTGTGACCCCACAAAAATGCTAAGAGAGGTAATACAAGAAGACTGGACATAAATTATTCACATAAACCTTCATGGAGCTAAACAAGTGGTATGCATTTTGATACTTGCTTGCTATGTCAAAGCTTGAGTAAAGGCAACAATTATATGCCCAAGACTATAACCACCATACATGCATATAGTATTTTTTGTGGATTTTTATTCACATAAATGCATTTTATTTATTTTGGAACTGCAGATCAGATTAAAAATTCCACATCACAACAGCAGTATGAAATATTTATTTACACCAAACCCACACGTATTGTCATATGTAGAACAGACTGTAACAGTCAGTATCATACATTTTTCATGTCAGTATTTTTTTTTCTCATCTCAGTTTCAATTGAGGGGTAGATAAAGGAAAACTAACAATTGCAACCAAAAATCAAATCACTTGAACAGAAACCTGCATCTAAAAATGACTTGAAAGACACAAGCAGATAGTTCCATTAGCTTTAAACAAACACCTTAAAATAGAACTTTTAAAATCAAAAAGACCACTGCTACACAGTATCATGTAATGTAAATAATTTTGCTGTTAAACATGCATATTATTACAGTTAAAATGTGTAAAATTGCACATTCTTATTCCAAGCTCCCATTTTATTCAGATTGCACTTTAAATATAAAGAAACCAAACTTAATTGTGGCTTTTTTTTCCAGCAATATTCATATGCCTAAGACCTTTTTGTGAGTTTAACTTTAAATAAATGCTAGCCTTTGTTGGAATTTGTTCATCAAATAGTTAACCTAAAATGAAGATATCACAGGCAGTATTAAATAATATTACATTCTACATTTGACATTTGTAAAATACCAACAACTTGTTTCTGCAAGGGTTTTAGAGCAACTCTGCCATCTTCATTGTGTTCATTTATTCTGGAAAAAAGACAAAGGGAGTTATTTCAGATTTCAAAGAGAAAAATGTAACATGCATATCAATGCAAAACATAGTGACAGTTTCTTTAAAATGCATACTCTGGTAAAGATTTACCTCTGACTGTCAGTTTAGTGGAGCACTCTGCCCTCCCCTTAGAGTTTTCTGCAACAACCATGTACTCCCCGGTGTCTTTAGGTCCAACCCTCAATATGAGCAGAGAACAGACTCCACAGGTGTTGGAGATGAAGTAGTTAGTGTTGGTATTCAGACTGATATTGTTGCGGAGCCATGTCACATGAGGTGTCGGGTCCCCTTTTATAGCACAGCTCATGTAGCATTCATACCCTTGAGGAGCAGTGTGCATTTTCAATGGAACAATGAACTTGGGAGGACACTCTAGATTACAGACCTTTGTTTCCGGCATGTTCAAAGTAAACTTTTCTGGAAGAAAGCAGATATGAATTGCATTAAATTAGAATCGTTATCATCTAATAGGAGAATGTGTTTCAAAATTGGCTTAATGGTGGTGCTACAGGTGCAGTATAATTGGAATTTACAGGTACAGTACATCCTTTTTACCTCCTGTTTCTGTGTCTGTGCTAATATAAAATGTGATGGCCAAATGGTTTGGAGTATCACAATTTTATTGATAGCCACAAAAAAGAAAGGTGTGATGATTGGATCAAATCAAGTCAAAACCCAATCTGCCAAATTAATCTGCTTGATATCGACAGACTATTGTAGTTAACTCTTGCCACAAGGAGCAAAGAAAGATGATGATGTATGAGAGCATTAAGAGTTACAGGCCAAAATGAGGGCTTTAGATTGAAGGTGAGGCTTGAAGGATTGATTGCTGTATAAATGTTCCTGCATTTTTTGTACTGACCCATGCAATAATTTGTCAGTGCACTGCAAAAGACGTAAAGTCATAAAAGCATACAGGAACAAAAACAACTCTTTTCAAATGAAATATAGTAAATTGGCTGCCGTAATCATTGTTATGAAAGATGCACAAGGAAGGAAAACACACAAACAGTTCAGCTTTGCTTGTAGCCTTAGTGCTTTGTAGAGGCAAGATGTAGGTAACATGCAAGTACTGTATTTGCTTAAGCCTGTGTCTTTAATGTTTCTTCAGAGTACAGAAAAGTGACAACTT